TCAATGGAAGATAATTTCTGAATAAGCTTAATGGAGGGTGTGCTTTAGGCTCCAGTGACCATCTGCAGGACACATTGGAACAGCCTTTATTTCTAGGAATACTTTACCATCAATTTATCACCTTTGTTTAATCTCATGGTACAATTTTTAGAAGAGGACTCTTTTTAGATATGTTGAAGAAGGTCCTTAATGAGAAAGCTTATATATAAGACAATTATCATAATAGAACTGCAATTCATTATCACATTTAAAGATACAATATTAATTTTTCTGTGCTGACAATTTCTATTATGAGTCAGTAGAAAGGAAGACATGAAGACAAATGTGACCTGGCTTGATGTCTGCATACATTTACTACTCCTTTATTTTTGCTGTTGAACAATACAAGTATGAGAGTAAGTTATTCCGATCACCATGGCACCAACTCTCAAAATGGCTATGGGCTCTTTTTGTCCTGCTGCAGAAACAAGCGGTATTTGCAAGAGACCAGTCTGTGGCCTGTTATATTAATAGTGTAATGAACATAGAAAATTTGTTTTTATTTATTTGACTTTTAATGCATTAAAAATTATTAATAATTGTGCATGTTTATGATGTACAGTGTGACAATTTGATACATGCATATATTGTACTGATCAAATCACAGTATTTAACATTTGCCCCTGTTTGTCATTACGTTATGATTGGACTTTTGTCTTTTTTGATAATAGGCATTCTAACTGGGACGAGGTGGTTTGTCATTGAGGTTTAGATTGTATTTCCCCTGATGGCTAGTAGTATTGAACACTTTTTCATATATGTGTTGGCCATTTGTATTTCTTTTGAGAAATGTCTATTAAGATCATTTGCCCATTTATTAACTGGATTAGTTGGCTTTTTGTTGTTGAGTGTTTTAGTTCTTCATATATTTTCTATATTAATGCTTTGTTGGGTAAATAGCTTGCAATATTTTCTCCAACTCTGTCATTGTCTGTTCACTCTGTTGGTTATTTCATTTGCTCTGAAGAAGCCTCCTACTTTGCTATAATCTTATTTGTCTAGTTTTGCTTTTGTTGCCTGTACTTTTGACAGCCTAGCCTAAAAAATGTTGCCTATGTATCAATGTCCTGAAGTGAATAGGAAATACCTTTTTAAATAAAAGTTTCTTTTCACATTATAAAAGAAATAAATCCATATTATCAAAAGAGAAAAGAAATATGAAATTCATATCCTACCTCCCTTGCTCAGCCCATTGAATTTACCTGGAATGTCACCTTGAACTAATGCCATGCTGAACACTGACTTGTTTAACTTATGTCTAACCTTCCAGGCTCACTTAGTAACAGTTCCATATAGCTTTCTGTTTGTAATAAGTAAATTAGAGAACAAGCAGGAAGCCATTACAATGACCCATGAAAGGCAGGGAAGGCTGGTGCAGGTGGTAGACATGTGGTAGAAAGTAAGGACTTCGGTGACTTTGCCAAGATGGCTGTGGATGAGAGATAGAAGGGAAGAAGCAGTAAGAACTACCCATGAAGGACTCTCCAGTCACTGTAAAGCAATATCAACAACAAGCAATTATAGATCAACAAGCTTGTTTTGAGTGTAGTTCAGTCTTAATTCACTGAGAGGATTTCCATGGATTGTCTTGTCCTGTGCCGTGGGGTCTGCTGATTCGTTGTGCTTGGCACTGCCAAGCAGCTCTGCACACAGCCTGGTGTTAGAACTACCTTTTTACCACCCCTTATCAACTCAGTTACCTTTGTTTTCTAATGCCTTTAACGATGTTCCCACGGTTTTTCTTGTTTAAAAGTGCTGAGCTCCTTGTCTCAGACACGGACCTGAAGACTGTGGTGTGCTTTGAACCATGTGTAGCATGAGACAGGCAACCATACCACCGGGCATGGGTATCTTTGTCTGAGTACCTCCATAAAAGGCATGGTTGTGAACTTTGGTTTTTGTGAAAAGGGAACATTCGGGCTCCTTTTTTGTCCTGCTGAAGTGTAGGCCTATTTTTATTTTTTGTTCTTCACTCTTTTTCTATGCTTGTGATTTTAAAGGTGCCAGACTGACTGCCCTCGAGGCTGGTGTCCCCGATTTATCCCAAGAATAGGAAAAATACGGGAGGCGTTAGAGCTGGTCATGTCTGGGTCCAGCATATTGGCCTGCCCCACTCTGGAAGAATATTCTCCAAGACATAAAGAAGAAGATTGTGTCTTAGGAATACAGTCCATCTGCTTTCATAGCAGAGGAGACAAAACCTTGTTGTACCATCCCAAGCCACTGTGGTGTTTTTGGATCCAGTTAGCCACAGACACTCATTCCTCTTCAGAAAAACTAGAATGTTTTTCTCAATTCCATCCCCACCTGTCAAAATTCCATCCTTTAAACTTGGGCACAAAAACCTGTTTCTCCACAAAACCTTCTCTGAGCCTCTCAAGTTTTGTGGCTTTTCCTTGCACATTTCTGTAGCACTTCCTCCCATTTTGTCATGTGATTGTTGATGCATTTTAGTCTTTGACTGCTAAAGGCTCTGACATTGTCTACTTCACGTCAGTATGAAACACAGAAGCAGACTGTAGTGTGGGGCAAGGAGTGGACACTTGGGTGTCTGTTGACTAGATTTAGACTTTCAAAGCATATCTTCTCATCCTGCCCTTCAGGGCACTGCTCTGACTTTCCCCTCTAAACCAGTGATTGAAGTTCAAACCTAGGTCTTCAGGCATAGATGGCAAAATCTTCATAAATCAACTAGGTTAAAACTCAGGGATTCCAGGTATGATTATACTGAGGAGACTCCTGGCTCTTGGCTTCAGATAGGCATAGCTCCAGCCGTTGCAGCCATTTGGAGAGTGAATCAACGGAGGGAAGACTTTCCTCTCTCTCTTTCTCTCTCTCTCTCTCTCTCTCTCTGTCAAATAAATAAACTCTACCTGTCAAATAAATAAATAAGTTGATATACAAGAGGGTACTTCACAAAGTTTGTAGAAAAGGAGAATTTAGAGATTGTTTTGGTGCAAACAAAATAATTTTGAAATTCATGTATAGTTTTTTTCATAATGTGTTTTTTCCATGAGCTTTTTGAAAAACCCCTTGTATGCTTGGGTTTCAAAGTTTTTTGCACCAAATCATACTTAATCTTTTAATTCCATTTTCCTAAGACTTTTCTGAAGCACCCTCCAATAAATCCTCTTTAAAAATGTCTGACATGTGAAACACTAGGTTTTCTACAACTTATCTGTCAAATCTTTCAGATTCTTTTTAAAAATGTTTTCTTTCTTTATTTATTTATTTGTCAAATTGGATAGAACTCAAAGAAGGAATCCTTCCATTCACTGTTTCACTCCCCACATGCTTCCAACAGCTAGGGCTGAACTAGGCCAAAAGCAAGAACTGAGAACTCAGTCCAGGTCTCCTAAGTGGGTCTCCAGGGGCAGAACTGTTCGAGCCATCACCTGCTGTCTCCCAGGGTGCATGTTAACAAATAACTGGAGTCAGGAATGGAGCCAGGACTCAAACACTGGCATTCTGATTGGGATGCAGGTGCCCTAAATGGCATTTTAACCACTACCAAATGCCCACCTTTTAAACCTGCAGAATCTTGCTGATTTTCCCAGTAGCCAACAATTACTTGTTCTAACTTCTTAACATAATAAAATCAAAGAATAAGAAAATGGAACTGAATCCAGACCTGACCCCTCCTCATGATTCTCATAGTGGAGCCAGATAGAGTTATACTCTGTACAGTGCCTCTCACTGACATAATTTTTGTTATGATTTAAAATAATGTGAATGTTCAGAGCCTAAACTTGATGTGTATATGTGGAAAAGATGCCCCTGAATCCCATTTAAGAATGCTGGAGGGGCCAGCGTTGTGGTGCGATGGGCTAAGCCACTGCCTGCAACACCAGCATCTCTATGAGCAGGATTTAGAGTTGTTCCACTTCCTTTCCAGCTCCTTGATAATGAGCTGGGAATGCAGTGGAAGATGACACAAGTGCTTGGGCCCCTGCACCCATGTGAGAGACTGGCTGGCTTTCTGTGTTCTTGGCTTCAGCCTGACCCAGCCTCAAGCGTTGCAACCATTTGGGGAGTGACCCAGTAGATGGAGGATACCTCTCTCTCTCTCTCTCTCTCTCTCTCTCTCTGTGTGTGTGTGTGTGTGTATTCTCTTTCTCTTACACTGTAACTGTGCCTTTCAAATAAATAAATAAATCTTAAAAAAAAAAAAGAAACACACAGAATGCCAGAGCTTTGCAGAACACTAAGTGAACACAGGCAACTCAGGCCATGAAGGTCTGACTCCATACCCTGCAGTGTTTGGAACCGTTGCAGGATTTAAGGATGTTCAAACTAAGAACAGGCCCATCAGTGATGCTAGCTAAACTGTGGTATCCTATAGGGTGTCAATTCCAAGAGTTGGGACTTGGCTCAGGACACCCCAGGAGACCAAGTTAGAACTGCTGAGCGTTGGTGAAAAAGAATGCGGTAGCGCTCAGATGGCCTAGAGAGAAAAGCGACCACTTGTGATCTGCCTGCCACTGAGAGCAGACTGCAGAGGCTTGATAACCTGGGCTTTTGGGAAAGGAACTGGAGTTCCAGTTTGGACCCAATTCTCTTACATTCCACAGGAAGGCATGGAATCTCCAAGGGGAAAGCCATCCCTATGCTGTTTTATGGCTGATGGCTTCCAGGCCAGGTATTCTGAGTCATGCTCACTTTTTACTTGCATGTGAGATTGGGGGCAGAACACTGGTCTCGACGTCGGAAACCTGCATTACCATGTCACTTTCCAGGGGATGTTAGGCTATGAAAATAATGCCCTCAGCTGATTCATGGCCAGCCTTCCGCGGCACAGCCTGGCTGACTGGGGCTGCTGCTAGTGGCCGTGACGTGGTGGCAGTGACTCCCTCACTGCTGCTCACATGAGAAATCTGCTCTCTCCCCCCTACATTTTGTTCTTTAGAAGGACGATGTGCTCCTTGGGGTTCTTCTCAACTTGATCCCCATTTTTCTTGCAGGTCGCTGTGCTCGCTGTGGTGAAAATGTAGTTGGGGAAGGTACAGGATGCACCGCCATGGATCAGGTCTTCCACGTGGATTGCTTTACCTGCATCACCTGCAACAGCAAGCTCCGCGGCCAGCCCTTCTACGCTGTGGAAAAGAAGGCTTACTGCGAGCCCTGCTACATCGTAAGTCCTGATTTGCAAAAATGTCTGCTGTGGCCAAATGCCAATCACTCCAGACAGAATGTGGCCGCCGTGCCTTTATTTCTCCCTGGACTTCCAAATGTGTATGTGTAAGTTGGCATATCATAGTTTTCTCTTCATATTCCCTGTTCATATGCAGTCAGAAAGGTGAGTTGGGACGGGACTGCCGTAATGTCTGCTGCAAATACCCTGAACCTGTGGCTTTCAAGCACCTGTGCAAGCTAGCATGTTCCTCCCTGAAGCATCAGCTTTCCCAAGAAGCACAGTCACACCCTTTGTTACTAGATCTCACCCCGTATTTGAAATCCCAGCATTTTTTTAAAGATTTATTTTTATTTATTTGAAAGACAAGAGTTACAGAGAGATGGGGGGGGGGGTCTTCCATCCACTGGTTCACTCCCCAGATGGCCGCAATGGCTGGAGCTGCACTGATCCGAAGCCAGGAGTCAGGAGCTTCTTCCAGGTCTCCCACGTGGGTGCAGGGGCCCAAGGACTTGGGCCATACTCCACTGCTGTCCCAGACCACAGCAGAGAGCTGGATTGGAAGTGGAGCAGCTGGGACTAGAACCGGCGCCCATATGGGATGCCGGTGCTTCAGGCCGGGGCTTTAACCCACTGCACCACAGCGCAGGCCCCCAGAAATCCCATCTTTTATAGGGAAATTTAGCAAGATCTCTGGTCTTTTCAGTGCTCTTCCATTTTCTTGAGTCCTTCGATTCACTACTTATCTACCCAGAATGTTTCTTACCCCCTTTGCTTGAGCAGATTTGCAGTTTTAGAAACAGTCAAATCCTTTATACTGACGGAGCTAATGTGTTTTATGCAACCCAAGTATATCTTAATCATGTGGCTGTGTAATATACACCATTTTATTATATTATCTTAGCTTTTCACAGGGCTATTTAACCTATTAAGCTATCTTTTGATAGAGCAGTTTGATGAATGATCACTCTTTTAAAAAAATCTAAATTCCCTTGCTATCTTTCTGAATTATAAGATCTCACAGCTTAAAACCTGTTAATGGAAAAAGTGGCACTTTTTTTTCCCAGACTCACAGGAGTCACAATTGGCTTTCAGTGCTGAAGCATTCCACCATCAGAGCAGCCTTAGGTGGAAGGCATTGGGAGTCATACATAGCTTTGCAGATTCCCAAGGTTCAAGTTGACTGAAGAAGTTTCTGGCCTGGTTGGTTCCTTCTCGTAGCCACGCAACTCTAACTCATTTGTAATACCTGGGTCTGTGGCACACACCTGAAAGTTCTTCAAGATAAAGATGTTGTGACTTTTAAAATTGTTTGGTATCTCCTGGGTTCCAACTTATTTCATTTTCTTACCAAAAGCAACGTGAATGCAAATAGCATCATTGTAGAGACATACAATGTTAGACATGTTTAAACATCAGGTCCTAACTTCTCTCAGTAGAAATGAGGCAACATGAACGTGGAGAAGAGGAAAGGAACTTCTTATGTTTTGTTGTTATTTTCATAGCCAAGACTGGGTTCATGTCATGTATTCTTTGTAGATATTATATAGTTTTACTAGAATTAGAATTTATTAGAATATTTTGAACATCATTCTTTAAGATCCTTGTTGAAAGTGAAAGTCATTATTTCTTGCCTTTTAAACAGATTCTAGGGACTATCATCCCCAATGACTTAGGACTGCAACTGTGAAATGATTGGTGTCTGGGAGCTCTGTGACAGTGATGGCTTAGACGTCCCCAAGGTTGTTTGTCTTTACACTAAGTAACCACACAGCGCTGTGTTTTTTGTAACTCTTGTGTCTGTTTGTCCTCCATTTTTTTGAGCACATTGTTGAGTCCTGTTTGCTACTTTAAGGACGCTTCTGTGGCACCTGCAGTGGCTTTCTTCTGGTATCTGTCTCCTTTCTGAGCTAGAAACTTGTGGGCAATATTTGGAAGCAGTGTTAACAGTCGAGGGAGAAGAAGCATTTGAATGTGGTCCCACTGCTTGATGCTTTGTCTCCTTGGGAAAGTGCCTTGTTCTTTCTAAGTCTCAGTTTCCTCATATATGTAATGGGAATGAATTCAGTATTTTCCCCTTGTGCAGATGAAATGAGGCAATCCTTGCAAACGCTTGGTCTGCTTGGGTAACAGTAGTGGAATAAACATTATTCTAAGATTAATTTTATTGAGATTTCTGGACTCATGTCCTTTTTCTCACATCCAGAAATGTGAGAAATAGGACGTGTACTGTGAAATTCGCCGGGCTTTAGGAAGATGTTTGCACCACTCAGACAACCGTTTGCCCATTTTTGAGTGTTTTGCTTGCTTTCCTGAGTACCAAGACTGAAGGAAATCCTATATTGCAGAAACATGGGTTTCTGCAGTGCATGGGCTCAGTTCTGATCTGCATTCCAGGCACTGGAGCTCTGTGCTTCTTTAGGCTATCAGCCCCTTCTGCTTTGGTTGTGTGTTACTATACTATGCTTGTGGCAAGGAAAACTATCTGAGCAATATTCAATCACATACTAGAAAGATCTGGGTGAATTCAAATAATGTGAATTCTTCCCATCCTTTTTGACTCGTCTCCCTCATAAGAACCTTTAATCAGGATTTTTTTTTATTTAATGAGATCTATCCATGGTGGCTCTAAAATGCAATTTAATTCTTATCAGGATTCAGTTAAGCTTTGCTCAAAGACCCTTGTTCAATATTGATTCCAGAGTTCAGCACAGCCCTCAAGCCCTTGGTGGATGTATGAGCACTTTAATTTCTTCTGAACTTTTAGAAGTCCAATAAGCTGCACACTAGCTGCACAAAGAGGTTGGGGAAACTGGGAGGATAAAAGAAAACAGTTTGTTTTGAAGGTAGAGTTTGTGTTAAGAACAGCCTGAGAGCTGTGTGTGTCTCTCTTGAAACCGAGGCCTTTGAACAGGAAGTACTTTCTCTGTGATACAGCAAAATTGCCTCCTGTGACCCTGATGGGAACTGATGTATAAAAGACATTCTGTCAAAGCAGAGGAAACCCAGCCCCTGGCCATCACTCAGTGTGCCTTTTTTTCTTTTACTCCTTCCATTTTCATTTTATTTGAAAGGCAGAAAGACAGAAAGAGATCTTCCATTCACAGCCTTATGCCCCTTGAGGCTGAGCCAAGCCAAAGCCATAAGCCTAGAACTCAATCAATCCAGATCTTCCACATGAGTGGCAAGGAACCAAATACTTGAGCCATCACCTATATCCTTCCACAGTGCACATCTGCAGGAAGCTGTATTAGAAATGGGGTAACTAAAACTCAAGCCAGGCACTGCAGTAGGATACAGGCCTCCCAAGTGGCAATTTTAACTGCTGTACCAAATACCATTCCCACTTTATATGCCCTTCTTGTATTTCATTGACAGAATCAGAATATTGAAGTGGAATTATTAAGTATTTCTGTATAAGAACAGCTGATGTTTGACATTCTGAGTCCAGGAAGGAGACCAGCCAAATATAATTAAATCTATCACCATTTCTGCCATAATTAGTTACTAATCAACCTAAAATCATATTTAAGTTAAGTATTTACATAATTTTGAGGGATAATATGCCAGCAACGTATTCAGCTTTGGTTCAGCAATTATTGATAGGTTCATATGATCCCTTGAGTCCTTAACCCTTATGTATAAGTAGCTGTGACTAAACAAATTTGAATCAGTGTGGCATTGTAATTATCATGCATCATTCTACATATTTTGTTCCTATTTTGTGTTCATTAACCTAGTATAAACATTAATGTAGGCCGGCACCGTGGCTCACTAAGCTAATCCTCCGCCTCGTGGCGCCAGCACACCGGGTTCTAGTCCCGGTCGGGGTGCCGGATTCTGTCCCGGGTGCCCCTCTTCCAGGCCAGCTCTCTGCTGTGGCCTGGGAGTGCAGGGGAGGATGGCCCAAGTGCTTGGGCCCTGCACCCCATGGGAGACCAGGAGAAGCACCTGGCTCCTGCCATCGGATCAGTGCGGTGCGCCAGCCGCAGCGCGCCGGCCGTGGCGGCCATTGGAGGGTGAACCAACGGCAAAGGAAGACCTTTCTCTCTGTCTCTCTCTCTCACTGTGCACTCTGTCAAAAAAATAAATAAATAAAATAAAAAAAAACATTAATGTAGCTTTCCATTGTTAATAATCTAAACTTTTAGCTTATCTGTTTAGTTTTACATTTGTTTAATACCACATTTTGAAATAATTTCCTACTCAATAGCTATTGAATATTTTCTATACTTCTAATATTATAAATTATATGCTATACATAATTGAGTAATATTTTTGTATCCTAAAACATTTCTTCCTTAGCATATTCCTTTATGTATATTTTTTTTTTGACAGGCAGAGTGGACAGTGAGAGAGAGAGACAGAGAGAAAGGTCTTCCTTTGCCGTTGGTTCACCCTCCAAAGGCCGCTGTGGCCGGCGTGCTGCAGCCAGCACATTGCGCTGATCCGAAGGCAGGAGCCAGGCGCTTCTCCTGGTCTCCCATGCGGGTGCAGGGCCCAAGCACTTGGGCCATCCTCCACTGCACTCCCTGGCCACAGCAGAGAGCTGGCCTGGAAGAGGGGCACCCGGGACAGAATCCGGCACCCCTACCAGGACTAGAACCCGGTGTGCTGGCACCACAGGTGTAAAATTAGCCTATTGAGCTGTGGCACCGGCCCCTTTGTGTATATCATCAAGTCAAGTGTAATATAATTTGGAGGACATTTGTCTTACCTTGCTAGATTTCTTTAGAAAGGTTTTCCCAGTTTACAAGACCATTAGCCACTATGAGACTATATGTTAAACTGTAATCTATCCTTTATTGAAGAACTTTATATTTATTTTGAAACAATTTAATAATTGAATAATAGTTTTAATTTGTGTTATTATTAGGAAAGTCAATGAACTGCTTTTCTACTTTGGTAATATATATCTTGAGAGATGAGCTTTGATTATTATTGTAGGTTTGGATAACTGTACAGAATAAAATTGAGAGTACTTCCTTTAGGAAGTAAGT